TTCACACCCAAAACGGCCTGGCAGAAGCTTTCATAAAGCACCTTCAATTGATAGCTCGAACTTTGGTTATGAAAACCAAACTGCCGGTATATGCCTGGGGCTATGCAATATTGCACGCAGCTATGTTGGTCCGCCTGAGGCTCATCGCTACCCAACCACATTCACCGTTACAGTTGGTCACTGGATACGAGCCTGACGTCTCGCATTTACGGGTGTTTATGTGCGCCATTTATGTGCCAATAGCACCGCCGGTACGTATCAAAATGGGTCCTCAGAGAAAAATGGGAATCTATGTCGGTTATGATTCACCATCAATTGTTCGATACTTAGAACCCTTGACAGGAGATATCTTTACCGCACGTTTTGTGGATTGTCACTTTGATAAGACAGTCTTCCCGTCGTTAGGGGGAGATAAGCATGCTAACGTTCCTATAGAACGCCGCGAATTGTCATGGTATGCTCCCACTATGTCTCATTTAGATCCCCGCATTGCCCAGTCTGAAACTGAGGTGCGACGAATTATAGATTTTCAGAGTATTGCTCAAAGCATGCCAGATGCTTTTAATGATCTAGCAAAGGTGACAAGATCACATATACCCGCTGCAAACACACCTGTAAGGATAGATGTACCCCGTGTACATCAACAGCCCGTCTGGGAAGGCCGAGCAGTCCTCGAAGGTGGGGAGGCCGCACCCTCCACACTGCATGGTACATTGGCGGTTAGCCAATCATCTGTTCCGACCCTGAAGTGTGGCAGACGCCCTATTTCAAAGGATTCACAACCCCGGAAAGGGAAAATGGCACCAACTAGTGATCCTAGTTCGAATCCGACCATCGCTGACTTATCTATTCCAATGCATGAGGTTATTCTAGATTGCGGTGATGTTTCAGATGAAACATGCCAGCCTCCCGAGAATCGCGAGATTTCGATCCATTACACAGTATTGGATGAGGTTTGGAATAGGAATGAGATGATCGTCGACGACGCATTCTCGTACTCAGTAGCGACTCACATCATGCTTAGCAATGACATTGAACCACGTTCCATCGATGAATGCCGACGTAGAACCGATTGGTCAAACTAGAAACAAGCAATCCATGTCGAATTTGATTCGCTCGCGAAACGTAAAGTGTTTAGACCTGTCATCCCTACACCATCACGAGTGAAGCCTGTTGGCTACAAGTGGGTTTTCGTGAGGAAGCGTAATGAGAAGAATGAAATAGTGCGATACAAAGCACGCCTTGTAGCGCAAGGCTTCTCTCAACGCCTTGGAATTGATTACGAGGAGACATATTCCCCCGTAATGGACGTTATAACGTTTCGCTACCTTATCAGTTTGGTAGTTTCTGAAAAACTGAATATGCAGCTTATGGACGTGGTAACCGCGTATCTCTATGGGGATCTAGATACGAAAATATACATGAAAGTTCCAGAAGGACTTCCATTGACTAGCTCAAATAGTTCTAGACCACGAAACACTCTCTCAATTAGGTTGAGGAGGTCACTCTACGGATTGAAACAATCCGGGCGGATGTGGTATAACCTTCTGAATGAATATTTGACAAGTCAGGGCTATGTGAACAACGAACTATGTCCATGCGTGTTCATAAAGAAGTCACATTCCGGATTTGCAATTGTTGCAGTTTATGTCGATGACATGAACCTCATTGGTACTCCCGAAGAGCTTGAGGAAATTGCTGCACACTTGAAATCAGAATTTGAGATGAAGGATCTTGGGAAAACTCGATATTGCCTCAGCCTGGAGATCGAGCATTGTTCAGATGGAATCTTAGTACATCAATCGAACTACACCCAAAAGGTGTTACGTCGCTTTAATGAGGATAAAGCTAAGCCTTCGAGCACACCCATGATCGTTCGGACTCTAGATGCTAAACGAGATCCCTTCCGTCCAAAGGAAGATGAGGAAGAGATTTTGGAACCCGAAGTTCCTTACCTAAGTGTAATTGGTGCTTTATTGTACTTGGCTCAGTGCACTAGACCCGACATCTCCTTCGTTGTGAATCTATTGGCTAGATACAGCAATGAGCCTACACGCAGGCACTGAAATGGTGTCAAAGACATTTTCCGCTACCTCAAGGGTACTACGGATTTGGGCTTGTTCTATACCCACAAATCTCCTAGTGTTGCCGCCCCCTATGGATCTAGGATTGATTCTCGCCTTGTTGGTTACGCAGATGCTGGATATCCGTCTGACCCACATAGAGCATGTTCTCAAACGGGTTATGTCTTTATCGTTGGAGACACCGCTATTTCTTGGAGGTCTACCAAGTAAACGCTAGTTGCGACTTCGTCTAACCATGCTGAGATTCTCGCCCTGCATGAAGCATCGCGTGAATGCTTTTAGCTGAGAGAAGTAATGGGACACATTTGAAGCATTAGTGGTCTTACATCAGTCGTTGACCTTCCTACGACGATCTTTGAAGACAATGCAGCATGTATCGAGCAGTTAAATAAGAGATACATCAAGGGAGACAACACCAAGCACATAGCGCCAAAGTTCTTTTACTCACACCAGCAGCAGCATCAGAACATTGAAGTCAAGCAAATCCGTTCCCAGGACAACCTGGCCGATCTCTTCACCAAGTCATTGCCAAAGTCTACATTTCAAAAGTTTATCCAAGGAATCGGTATGCGTAAATTATCAGAATTAAATCTCTTGTAGTTCTCTTATTTAAGAAGTTATGTCTAACTCAGGGGGAGTATCTAGAAGCATACTCACATGATCTTAATGTACTCTTTTTCCCTACAATTATGAGCATTTTTCCCACTGGGTTTTTGCTACCTAACTAGGTTTTAACGAGGCACCCATTCTGGGATGATCATACTCCGTTGAGTTCACTACACTCGTCCAGTTTGACGATTGTTTTAGACATTATGCATATTTTCTTACTTTTCTCCTTAGTCTATGGGTTTTTCTCCATTCCTTGGGTTTTACCATAGCGAGGTTTTTTTGAGTTTTTACAAATGCATACTTCAAATTAAATTTGAGACTCGCGATGACCCATTGTGCCGATGACTTCATCAACTATTCTACCTTCTCTGTTGAAGATCTGATGCGATGGTTTGTTGAGTATTTACACACTCAAGGGGGAGTGTTGCAGTTCTATTTAGAATATGGATGTGATTGTGTAAATCCTAGAGAATATGGGAAAGTATTATATATTCCTATTAGGATTAGATTAGCTATTAAATGTTGTAATCATAAAGCGAAAGGTATTTACCCTTCCAACTACTATAAATAAAGGCACAATGGGGTGAATCAAACACACCTCACAATTAAATCAATCTCTCTTCTCTCTAAAGTGGCCGGCCTCCCTCTCTCTCTCTAAACCTTAGATCGCTCAATTAAATAGGCCTACAACAAACAAAGGATTTTTGCATTAGATCAATATGGTTGTTCGAAATAGGAATAAACAAATCGAATAAATGAATTTCATGTTTAATTCTTGTGTATTAATTTTTCAGCTTGTCAGGTAAGGAAATTTTAGAGCTTGCAAAAGGGAAGTATGACAAGAGAGATGGAGGAGATAGATCAAAGTGGTCAATACAATGCGATATAGATTCAAGGGGTGTGATATCCACACATCCCATTTTACTTCTCACACACCCTTTTAATTTTCGGCCGTCGGATCAGATCAATTAAAGAAGATCAACGGACAGAAATTAACAAGGAGTGTGTGAGAAGTAATTTGGGGTGTGTGGATAGCACACCCCTAGATTCAATTATACGTTATATATATTTTGGGATACTATTAATGATTTATTTTGGCCCAATGCTTGTGGACCCTTTGTTCTTGTACGTTCCCATCATCAGTGAAAATATCAAGTGTCTCGCGTTGGACGAAAAATTAAAGAAGATAACTATTGTTTTTAGATAATTTACAGATCTCCCTTATGTACTTAAAATCATCTATCATGTGCTGCGTACGTGGTGGAAATTGAACTTTCTGGAAGATCTCCCATACCTAGATGATGAGAATGAGATGCCCACAATACCAAAATCCCCAATACATAACATTTTAGCTGTTCTTCCTATTCCACAAGTAAGCCAATTACTTTTCTGAAGTAAATTATTTTTCGTAATCTCTTAATTAAGTCATATATTAAAAATTACGATAATTTAATATTGCTGATTCTGTCATACAACACTTAAGTTTAATTACTAGTTACATTTGTGTACAGATCATAATTCTAATTTTCCTTCTGACAACGAGGGACTCAAGATCTTTGAATATAATGAAGTTTTTGAACTTGCTTATTCTATTGTAATATGTTGCACGAGCTAGTCCAATGTACAAACTATGTAAGAAGTCTAACAAGGAAGCACGTGAATATAGCACTCTTTACTAAGCAAAAGGAAATATGGATTCCAGGTGCATTAAATTTCATCATGTACGTCCTTGCTAGCCATGTAAGTTATTGTTTTATCTTAGTTTATTTTAACTGCTCCATAAGTTGCTTGTAAATATTGTTGAGTTACAAATGTAGTTCTTGGTTTGTTAGGTACTCGGGGCATTTTGGTACTTTTTTTCTATTCAATGAGAGATAGATTATTGGATCTCTACTTGTCGAAGTGAAAATGGATGTGAATTAAGTACTTTACAATACGATAATACTACGTTCAGAAATATCACACTTCTAAATGATATGTCCAACAAATAGACCAAATGCAATGGTACACGATTTTGGCATATTCGTTGATACCCTCTAGTCTGGCATAGTGGGAACAACAGATTTTCCTCAAAAACTCTTGATGTGTTTCTCATGGGGCTTACGAAATTTGAGGTTTGTCCTACATTAGTATTTTTCTTCTTAGATAATGTGTCATGCACATGGATTTTTTTACAATACACCAGTGCAAGGGATGTGCAGTGTTTGAAGGTACATTAAGATTGACTATCAAGATTCAGCCATGCAAATCCAGCTGTCCAATGAGTTGTCCCTTTTTAAATATTGTTTTAATATATTGCTCCAATGATTTATGCAGTTCTTTTGCTTCAAATCTCAACACTAGTTCCTATGCATGGGAAAGCGTCTTTGTAATTTTTATTTCGATCAGTGGCCTGCTACTATTCATATATTTGATTGGACATTTGCAGGTCGGTGATGAGTTATATTTTGTATATCTGTTTTCTTTTCTTTTGAGTAGTTTCTACATACATGCATGTAAATTTCAGGATTTAATAAACTCAATTTCAAGCCTCCATGTTGTCGAGTAGACATTTATGCAGGCAATTAGCAAAACATCTAAGATATTGCAGCGGAAATCAGTCATATTTCCACAAATAGAGTTCATAGTATCTGAATATGGTCTCCGTCGCGAAATCCGAGATGAAATTTGGGAATTAGTAAGAGAAGCACTTGAAGAGGACGAAGATAATCCTGCGGAGAATATCTTCTCGTTACTTCCCTTGGAACTTCAGAAACATATGAAGCGGCCCCTCTTCTTGGCTACACTACGGAAAGTAATGTCCTATCTCTCTCAATTATTCGTAACTCTATATAGTGTTCTATAAACTTGTGGCGGTAGATGGTTTTTCGAATAATCTAGTTAACGAATTCAAGCTATTATATAGATAGGAGCATGAACTCCTCTTTGAGTTCTTTTGGCGTGCTTTCGTGAGTCTACTTTTAGTAAAATGATGTTGCTTATTGGATCTTATCGATGTATTCTTAAGTTTCTAATTACATGTATTAATTAACCCAGGTGCCAGGGCTTGAAAACAAAGACAGACGAGTGTTGGATGCAATCATGAGGCATCTTAAGCCAGTTAACTATGCTGATGGTAGCTATATTATTCGAGAGGGGGAGCCACTGGATAGGATGCTTTTCATCACGCAGGGCAGTGTACTTACCTACAAGACTAGTGGTATCGGCGGAGGAAGTGGCTCGTCAAGCATTATACGTCTTGCAAAACGTGACTTTTTATGGAAAAGAACTTACAGGTTGGGCGGCGACATCTACCTCTTTCGCCGACTTACCCATCTCAACCAAAACTGTAAAGTCCCACGCTAAACTTGAAGCCTTTGTTCTCGTGGCCGATGATTTACGGCTTGCTGTCACGTGGCCGATGATTTGCTAGGTCTATTAGTTATCTGTAACTAATAACCAGAATTTTAATTCAAAATAACTACAGATTTGTGAGGAAAATATGTTTACACTATGAATAATGTTAAAAGACTAAATTTAGTTTGCAAATTTTGTCTACAAATTTAATCCCTAGCATTACCCTGACACTATTGATTGACGATAAGTTTCGATCTACTTTTCAAGTTTAAAGAATTTAAAAGTCATCTCCTTTCCTCAACATTAGCAAAACGTAAGAACCTCTGTCAGGTTGAACTTATGACCCTCTATCACCGTACATAATATGGAGTTAAATAAAATCTCATCTTGAGTGCCTCTGAGAACGCTTTCAAGTGCTTGAATTATTGTGTGTTTGATGTATGAAGGTAAACCATAAGACTGGTCGACACACAAACAAATGCTATAATAAAATGTATAATTTATCATAACAGTTATAACCCTTCCATAAGTGATGTATCTTTAGATAAGACCACCCAATAGAAGTTACAACTCTCTGAAAATGGTATAATCCATGTATGTAAAAACAGGATTCATTCCTCTTGAACAAATCATTCAACGTCAAATCAATTCCTCTTGTATGTAAAATCCATTTAAGGCGTATCGAGGAAAGTCTCCTAATTAGCTCAAGCGGAAATACTTCTCCAAATCACCCTTTACGAGAAGTTGCAACTCTATGAAAATGATAAGATGAAAGTCTATAAAATGAGAATATATTCCTTAAGGTGAGACAAGTCAATGGTTTCTACATCCTCCGAGGGGTTTACAACAACCACACTATTTAATATTACGCTCTAGATTTTACGAGAGTGTTAACCCGCGCGTTGCCGGAGGAATATCAAATGGATAATAAATATTGTATGTAAGTGTTAAACTAAGGGACTAAATGTGTTATAAGCAATGTGCGTAGATTTGTAAAAGCAAAGCAGAGCAAACTGAAGACACAATCAATTATGATATCAAAAGAGCATGAATAAACAAAGACATAATCGTATCCGCATTGGAGCAAACAAAATCACAATAAATGAAAACATAAAATATGGTCATACAGTATTCATACAAAAAATAAAGTCATACGATATATGGATCAACAAATGAGAATACAAAATGTTTTTTTTTCGTCTCAATCGAATTTCGTCATTAAATTACAACAAATGAAAAGAAAAAACCCCAAAAAGACACATAACAATAAGGACATACCCTTATCACCATTCGCACATCAAATATATATCAAATTCCCAACTCTGAAATCAGAGCTATAATCACATACAACACAACCCATCGATCTACATAAAAAATTACCCAAAATTTGCAAATTGCAAAATGTAGTGACAGAGGCTGAATAAAAACCAATTGCACACAAATTTAGTAACTGCCACTGAACCAGCCTCCTATCAAACATAATTCATACTAATAACAGTAAAAAAGGTCGTACCCAGTGCACAAGACTCCCGCTTTACGCAGAGTCTGAGAGAGGTGAATGTCGTCTAGCCTTACCCCCATTTATGAAGAGGCTGCTCCCAAGTCTCGAACCCGAGACCTACCAAAAAAATAAAATATCCAACATATGAAGAAAAGTATGATGCTTCAGTGCGCAGCAGCAGAGTCGGAATTCGGAGTCCTGTGATTGGTGGCATATTATCTTTAAATTTTGATTCTTTGATTTGACCAATTTCAAGATTTCGAAACCAAGTTGGACTCCTCCTTCCCCTTTAATTACAGAATATGGCCCTAAAAACTCAATAAATTAGAAACAAACTAAAACATGGGATTGGTGGAGTCCATACCTTGGAAAGAGCTCAACGAATGCTGCCAGAGTACTTCTCTGAAGAGGTGCCTTTCTTCGAAGATTACTCAATATCAATAGCGTCTCCATCAGTGGGATGAAATAGCAACTGCTAACCCCAGCCCATGTACAGTTTCTTTGGCTCTTACAAAACAGTTGCTACATCTACATGTATCCTTCTGTAAACACCAACAAAAAAAGATGCAACACAATTAAAAAAACATGAAATCATTAAATATAGCTTAGATATCTTTCTCAGATTTCAAATTAAGATGCAAATTTTTTTTAAGTTTTTAGACTCTGGCTTATGTGCAATGATCCACTGAAGAGTTTTACACATGATTAACGGTTGAGAAAGAAATTATTGAGTTGAAATTCATGTGCTGTAAAAAGTGTGCTGATGTACAAGTAAAACATAGGCCAAACATTTTGAAAGAATTGAATAGAAAAAAGATAAATAGTAATCAACTGAAATCCAGAGAGAGAAAATTGCTATAAGGACCATCTTCCTTTAGTGATTATAACATGAAAGTATATGTAATTATTTGAATGTAAGAGGACTTGGAACCTTACTTCATAACATCAGATGTGCAAACATTGAAATTTAAATTTTAAAACTTTTAAGCCAAACATAAAAATAATTAGAGTTAACAACCTGGATCGATACATATCTCTCAATTTCCAAACCACAAACAAAGCGGGGCATAAATCTTGAAACTTTTAAGCCAAAAACAAATTCACTGTTTTTCCATAGATCTCCAAAAAAAGGAAAAAGAAAAGAACGCAAGTGCAAGCACAAATCTTGTGAAATGATCATGAATATTTTATAAACAACGTGCGTGCGAGAGACATTTTTGCATCACGGGACACGCCCCTAAAGGTGTATTGTGTTAGGGTTTTTTTCATTGTAATTGTTAAGATATATTTTAAATGTATTGTGCAAAGAAGAACTTTTACTTTACCATGCATGTCCTAAAAGGTTGTCATGTTTTTCATTTTCACTTTGCTTAAAGTAATGATTTAAATGTTATTCATGCAATTGTCAAACAACATGGGATTTTGGATGCAAGTTCCTACCTAAAGTCCATGAACAATAGTAAGTAGATGTAAATAAAAAAGAGTAGATGAAAAGTACTCATAGCAAAATACATAATAACTAAAATGTCAAAATACAAAACATACATCACAATATGTACATTATTCACAATACCCATAAAGTTTATATGTCACTATTTCTTTTGAAAAGAAAGTTTATATATTGACATCAATGCTGCAATTTCCACCCATTTGTTCATGATTGATTAGTTTGTTCTCCATTGTACAGGGTGAAATGTTTTTCTATCAAATATGTCAAGCACCAGATGGGGAAAAAGATCCTCATTGTTTAATGTCAACATTTCCTATTGCACCAATGAGATATATTTCTTGTCGAGTTAGCTTAATTTGAATGCCTCTAATTTATATATGGACATTATATAATTGTCAAATATTTAAGTCAAGCATTTGGTTGGAGCATAATTCTTTTATTTTTTTTTTTAGGATTATAAGGGAGTGGGAATAGATGAAATATGGGATAGAGTTGATACTGGTTAGCTTTTTGAGCATCAGTTTCGAATGCGAATACAAAATGGAAATTTATGTTCATTTAGAAACATAAAGGTTTAAATTGAACAAAATAACAATCAAGTTTGTATGCTAACATGATTAGGTTACGTTTTCACATTGAATTGGGGTTCAACATTAGAAGTTCTTTTCTCAAGTCTCAACATTCAACAAAATGAAGAAAAAAAAAAGGCCAAAGGCAAAAAGCCACCTCTTCCGCTGTTATCACCTTCCCTTTTCTTCAAGGCTCACTGCCAACAGAAAATCTATGGCAAGAATACACTTTCCCCCCTTTCCTTTTTCTTCGAGCCTCGACAAATGGGTCTGCAACCAATGCCAACTGAAATAATTGAGGTTAAGCAGGAAGAGTTTATGAAGAATCGGCCAAGAGAAGACCAGGCTAAGCCAATTGAAATAATTGAGGTTATTCTTGACAACACTATAAATATTACATCATAAAACAGTTAAGCTTAATTTAGTACATCTTTTTCTGTTAAATAAGAAATGGCTATGTCACAATTGTCCAAATAAAATAACTGAAATGATAAACATATTCTGTAAAATCAAGATTTTTGAAAGTCTAACTAATTGGTCAAATAGTGTCAAACATAATAGTATTTCTCCAAGTCATAGCACGTCATAATATTAAGCTGAAGAATAAGAATACATATATGACATTAAATTGAAAGTCTAACTAATTAAGATGATCATAATAAACATGAGGCACTGTTGTACAAATATAACAGGGCTGCAAACCAATTGGAAAAAGCAAACTTTTATATGAAAATGAAAACAAAAAATTCAGTTAAATAAGCATCATCATGCACTCCATAATTGTCTGTCTCAATGTTTTTTATGTCAGTCTGTATGCAAATGATTTGGGAAATTATAGGAGTGCAAAATGGATGGAACCAAGAACTGAAATCAAGAGAAAACACACATCCAATTTGGTGATAGTAAAAATGGAAAAGGGATATGATCAATACCCGATCAAATAACTGGCGAGAGCCCCGATTTCAAAACGGAATTTTTCAGGGCTTCCACTTTGTAGTCCCAATCATGTTCACGTATCTGCAAGGAACAAAGAAAATGAAATGAGTGAACAATTAGAACTGGACTTGGGGATTTTCAATCTACAATAGAGAAAGGGAAGCCAGACTTATGGGGACACGGTGATGAAAGATTTGATGATTCTAACATTATTGATAGAGGAGAAGATAGTGTTGTTTCACGGGGAACTTCAGTTATGGTCCTACCAGTTATGCACATTTCTATGGTTTAAAGACAAATTAAAAGTAATTAAGTTCATAAATCTAGGATTGGAAAAGATAACCATAAAAAAAATAAACAATAAGAAACACTTGCCGTAAAAAAGTAATAATGTTGGTCAGCTTGTGAATTCCCTGAAATATCCCAAATTATAAGAGCTACATAAAATTTGGAGCGCCTGCACATTGTAAAAACCAAATTGCCCAAAGAAATAAGCACAAAAAAGGCAAAGTAGCGGCACAACTAATATGTAAACATGTAAGCTTGGGTTTGCCTTTCAATGAAGAAACTCAAGTCCAAGTTGAATGAAACACAGAGTGACAGATGCCACCAAGTTTAGTTTACCTGGCTATTATGTGCCACCAAGTTTTCTTTCATCAACTTTAAGAGGAACTGCCGCTAACATTCAAAAATCAATAAAGAAATCCTCATGTATAAAGGAACAGAAAATACATTAGATATAAACATTTCCTTTTCAAAACCCATTACCAAAATCTCAAAACCCATTACCAAAATCCTTCACAGTTCACACCACTACTTTCCCAGCAGTTGTTTCGTAATGTCCATCACTTCCGCCAGAGATTTATCACCAGTTCGTATGAACTCCAAAATCTACAACACACAATCACATTAGATAAAAACGTGTTATTTAGAAAACCCTTTTCCAAAATATGCTCAAAGTTTGTAAATTTAAACAAAAGATCAAGTTTTGGCGCAAAAGCACACATGTACAACATTTTCTTTTCCCTAAAAGTATGATCTCCTGCCATTTTTCTATTGATAATTAAGCATGGCATAGGTTTTGATTGAATTGGTGATGGTAAAAATAGAAAATGAAGACATCAATACCCGCTTGAATCATTGACGAGAGAGCTCCAATTTCAGAGCGAAATTTTTCAGAGCTTCCACTTTGTAGTCCCAATCCTTTTCACGAATCTACAAGGAACAAAGAAAATGAAAAGAGTGAAAACTGGACTTGGGGATTTTTCCTAGCTCTATCATCAGCCATTGCGTAAGATAGTCACCATTCCCAAATTAACGACAGGAAAAAACCCAAAAATAAACCCTGATTTTTTAAATCGGGAAGTTGGGTACCGGGAGAAGATGATAACCTTCAATATATTAAATCACATAAAATAGGGTATTTGGCGGCCGGACCTGCAAATTGTAATATTTTGTTGATCCTAAATCATCGTTTCCACATAAGCACCAAATTGAAAGGTGCATGAAGAAGAAGGCCAAAAAAAAAAACCATTTGATAGAGGGTACCTGCAAATTGTATTACTTTGTTGATCCTAATTCATCATTTCCCCAGAAGCATCAAATTGAAAGGTGGATGAAGAAGAAGGCCAAAAAAAAAACATGATTTGATAGAGGGATCTATGCAGTTGAATTCGTTTCTCCCTTTTGTATGAACAGTTGGACTGAGTAACCGGTTGAAGCCTTCCGAACGTCTCGTAGTAGGGTACAGTTTCCATCGTGCAACGCTGCAACCGCTAGTGTTGGATAGGTAGTTTCCATCGTGCAAACTCTGGAACCTCTTGAGTTCGCTGGGTTTAATCTTTCCATTTTTTTTTTAGGAAACTAATGAAAAAGGCTTGAAAACTTTAAGTTTTAATGATAAGGACAAAATAAATAGTAAAGTGAATAGTATCAGGATTGATTTTTTAGTGTAAAAATGTGGTTTTTCGTTAAAGCGAACAGTACCAGGTACTTTTCGTTAAAGTTCCTTTTTTTTTTTTTTTGGAAAGAAAGAATGTATACAGTACTTGTAGAACAAATAATCGAAGGGTCACAATTGTTTAGAAAGTGTAGGTCCCATTTATCTGACGGTTGTAAACTATCATTCAGCATGCACACATACATTGTTTGTAGCCAAATATCTACAAATTTTGTATTACGATTTAACCCTGTCGTATTCGCGTATATTACAATTATACCGTATTCTATTGGGATAATTTGGCTCTTTAGCTAAAAAAAAAAGAAGAAAAAATAATAATAACCGGCTCATCAAGCCCCCTGGCCCAAAGTCGCGGCCTAAACAGCCGGAACCTAATCACCATGCCAGGCCCCGCGGGCTGGTCTGATTCCTTGGCCCAAAAGGCCTATCGGCCTCCTTGCTCTTCTCTCCTAGGTACGGGCCCCCAGCCTTAAAAAACAAAAGCAAAAAAAGAGAAATGAGGCCCGCGCCTCCTTGGCCTAACACCAGAGGCCTGAGATCCAGGCCAAACACAACATTACGGCGTCCCAGCGCCCAGACCCGAGCCGAAGCCACGCCGAGCCACAAGCGGCAACAACCTTGCCATGGCTCTCTTGTAGAGAAAAATAAATTGCTCTCCAAAGTTAGATTTAATAATCTACTTAAAGTAGACTTAAATAGACTTTGGGAGAAATTTATTTCTCTTTCCTAGAAGGATCTAATTTCCAATTAAAAAGGGAATCTATATCAAAATAGGAAACAATCCTAAGTTTTGTAAAGCAAGAAGATCTATACACCTGCTACCCTTTCCTGCGAGCAACCCAACATGTGTGGGGGCATTTGTGGTGCCAAAAATAGTCGAGAAAAATATGGAGGCGACATGCAGATTCTAGGGTTAAAAAGATAAAATTATCCTCAAGACACACCGGAACTCCTATACGTAAGTAGCGGACAATCACAACTCAATCAAGGTCAAAAGTGATAAAAATAGGTAATCATTCAAAACCTATTTCATCCATCCTCATCATATCCTTCCCACAAGGTAACTCCCAAATTATTTCTTTCAAATTATATTAATTAGCTAATTAATTGATTTATCACTCAATTAATTTTTTTAATTAGCTAATTGATTGTAATTAACACCAAACGTGGTCAGTCCCCATCCTCCTAATAAGGCCGGCCACACCCCTATAAATATCATCCCATTTTCTCCAAAAACAGTTGAATCCTCTTGTAAAATTCTCTAAATTCTCCAAACATTTTTCCCTCAAAATTCTAATTTTGGCATCAGAGGTTCTTAGGCCAAACCCCCCCCCCACCCCCAAATTATGCGTGAGGCTCTTGGCATTGACCTAAGGTGTTAATTGTTTTTACAGGTGCATTTTCGTCCAAGAACAAGAAGGAAGAAATTTACATCCACACGCACAACAATTCATATATTCATCTGTATCCATTCCTTCACATCAGCACATTCATCCACATTCATCAGAGAACCACATTTCAAAAGTGCAGAAATTAATGAATGCAGACACAAGAACATGATGAGTTCAGAAATGCTTACAGTGGGGTTGCTGAGATGACCCCTATGATTCTTGGAACCCCCTTTCACTCAATCACTCCCTCACATTTTCTTAAAAGTTTTAATATGTACAAGTTGGGGGTGAAACAAGCAGCATAGAGGAAGGTTATTGCTCAACTTCAGCACTCAGATCCAGATTCATGCAAGTATTATTCCCAAACATTCATCACATGGACCTCATGCACAAATTAACTAGATTTATTGATGCATGAGCATGCACAGATGGTAGTAGGGATGCAGTTTTGTACCATTCAGTCTCGAGTATGCAGATCTCGCGATGCTCGTTGCCCTTTTGATATGTCAGAGTTAAGATCTGTGACTACTTGCGTTCATCATCCTCTTCCCGTCTCCTCTGTTCGAAGTTCCTACATATAAACCACACATGCATGAGGATTCCAGAGTAATTTTCCAGATTAATCAAGCACGGAGAATATGAAGTGAAATTTACCTTTAGGATGTCGATTGCAGACTCACGATGGCGTTGAACTTAAGATTTTTGGAGTTCCAATGAAGGCTGGGGTTGAACTTGAGCTCTCTAATGTGTCTGGGTCTTGTTTTGAGATAGAAGATGGAAATTCTGAGAAGACTAAGTTTAGGGGTTGAACTTGAGCTCTTTGATTTGTAATAATTCGACATCTCATTGTGGATCGTGAATGACCATGTTAATCATGCCATTATTTAGTTACTAAACTCTGGTTCATGACAAGTCTACACTACTTGCACGATTGTGCAATACAATTCATAAAAATAAATAAATAAATAATAGCTTTGGAAAAATAAATTTAACGATATACAATTTGATATAATACTAAATTCAATTAACGAATTCATAGTAATATAAGAAAATCGAAACAAAACTGAAAATACCACAATAAAATGCTGAAAATAGATAAAATAAAATGGGGTAGATTACATAGTAGCCCCTCAGGTTTGAGGTCTATTACAACTCCATACAACATCTTTAAAACATTTCACTTTCATACCTCAAGTACTATTTTATTTCAAAATAATACATCCGTTACATTTTCCATCCATTGATCCGTTAAGTACTGACGTGGCTGCCAAATGTGTGCCACGTGGCTGCCAAATGTATGCCACATGGCAAAAATAATAATTTTTTAATTTTTTTTAAACCTGAATCTTCTTAAAAAAAAAAAAAAAAAGCAAAAGTTGAACCCATCTTCCCCTCCCCCCACACCCACACACAAAAACCCAGAAACTTACACGCCCCCCCTCTCCAAACGACCCATCTCGCAAAGCCCTTCCTGTCGCCCCCTCCGCCCGCCCCCCCCCCCCGCGCAGCGACTACCTTCCCCTCCCCCCCAGGACAATAAGCTCCGGCGACGACAAGCTTTCGTGAACCCGGCCCCCGGCAACAAGCTCCCACTGTCGAGCCACCTCCTTCTACGGTCCTACGACAAGGAGTACGTGCTGAAGAGGAACTCTAGGGCTAAGGTTCTCAAGGCTGGGATGTCAGGTCGTCCTCACTCCAGAGCTTCAAGGAATGGTGATTGATGTCCCTAAGGCCAAACTCTTGGATTTCTGTGTATGAATTGAGAAAATTGTTGTTCAATTTCATGATTTGAATATGTTGGAATGTTGTGGGTGAGGTTACAGATGAGAGAAGGGAGAAAGGGGGTGGGGGTGAAAAGGAGAAAGGGCTCGGGGAAGGTGGGGGTGGGGTGGGTTTTTGGATGGGAAGAGAGGTGAAGAGAGTGGAGGAGAGGGAGGTGGTTGGGAGGGAGAGGTTGCGGGGGTGGTTCTGCGTTTTCTAAGTTTTGGTTTTTTTTTTATTTAGAAGATTCAGATTTTTCAAAAAATAAAAATAAAAAATTATTATTTTTGCCATGTGGCACACATTTGGCAGCCATGTCAGCACTTAACGGATTAATGGATGAAAAATGTAACGGAGGTATTATTTTGAAATAAAATAATACTTGAGGTATGAAAGTGAAATGTTTTAAAGATGTTGTATGGGGTTATAATAGACCTCAAACATGAGGGGCTACTATGTAATTTACCCAATAAAATGAAATGAGCCAAACTGTTGGGAGATAACTCAACCGTTAATTTCTTGTAAGCTCAGTATTGGAGAGAAAACCCGACCACGAAGAATGGAAAAAAATGATTTTTCCATATGTATAGAAAGCAAGTCTATGCCTCAAAGGGTTATATATACCGAGTTCAAATTCATGGAAGAATTGTCAATTTGTCTCAACCATTTGGATTTGTCATTAATCGAGACTTCATAAATAATACACCAAATGTTTTGGTATGACGCAGAGTCATGCTCGATGCCTAATTGTATAACCATAAACGTACCAAAATTTGGTATGTGTTTTATGTAATTAAGCCAAGAGACTTCAGGCTTTCAATTATTTAGAATCAAAGAACTTTGGATTCTGATTCAATAATTTGTCATTAGGATGTGCAATTTCATTCCTAGAAATGGGACAAAATAATTTCTTGATCAGTGTAGGAAAAAAAAACTCAAGGTGGAATATCCACTAAGTTTGACACATTGACCCATTTAGATTTGGACTCAACTTTAATAAGTGATTTAACGATTCAATAAAAATATATACACAAGATATAGACTAATCTATTATAAGAATCTAAGAATCTTTAGAGCATGTAATCTTTCATAAATACAAATGGACTGTTTCTTTCATGTAGCTTGGAACATAGATGAAAAAGTGTTGAATGCAATCTTGGAGCATTTTGAGCCAGTAAACTATATACTGAGGGCAGCTACATTATTCGAGAGGGGGAGCCAATTGATGTTCTTTAGAATTTGAAATTATTGATGATCTATGAGCTGTGAGCTACACAAATCGTTGTGACAGAGGAAGGAATTACAGTACAAAGATTGAAGATGATGATGAGAAAGAGAAAGAGAGCAGCAGAGAATGTTACTCTGAGAATTCTTTCATTCATTCAGTGTGAGCTGAGCTATAGAGAGAGTGACGGAATATCACACTCTTTCTAACGGTAATAAACTTTTGGCAAGATTCAAGTTTACATCAAAACAATCTCAGCCTTCCATCTTATACCTTATGCGATGAAGACACATGGCAACTCACTCACTTAAGACCTATGAGACTTAAATAAGACATTACATTTCTAAAATTTGAGATAATTAATCTAGCAATGTAAGCTAGAATTAATTCCACCACATCAATTCACAGTTTACACTCCAACAAATACTACTGGTGGAGAAAGTAGGTCGTCAAGCACTATACATCATGCAAAAGGTGATTTTAACGGAGAAAAACTTATAAGTTGGGCAACGCATCTACACCAT